GGGAGTACCTCATAATGTTTTGCAGCCACTGCTAGGTGTAAAACGGTATTGCCATCGCTGTCCTTGGAGTTAAGCAGTTGACCATCTCCCATTGTTTGTACCAAAAATTTAAACACCTCTGGCTGACTATGTTTCATACACAAGTGCAAAATACTTTCGCCGCTCGTAGTCCGCTCTCGCGCAGCCTCTGGCTTGGCCCTAAGAACCACTTCAACCACTTGAAATTGACCGTATATAGCCGCAACATGGACTGCGTTCCTACCATCTATATCGCGGGCGAAACACATGTTTGGATTTGCAGTTAACAACACACTAACTATCTCCAAGTACTCTTTCGCCGAGGCCATGTGTAGCGGTGACCATCTTTTTAGTTGATCAAGCTCTTCTGCTAGCTCGGGCTTTTGAGTTATTACCTCAGTTGTAAACTCTAAGTACCCGAGATTAACGGCCACATGTAATGGTGACTGCATAAAACGGCTTGATTTCTCGATGATGCATCGATCGAGGATAAGTGGATCTTGTTGGAGCAAGTTGCGCAACGATGGTACGTCTCCTGTAAGTGCTGCATCGTATAGCCGAGTTGTAAGCAGCTCAAGTCTTTCTCCTTGTTGTGCTTCCATCTTTTACAACAAGAATTTTGAGGAAGAATAATGTAAGGGGTTGATATAAGGTGGAATTGAAGGCTATAATAAGATTTTATTTATTTATTTATTTATTTATTTATTTTATTTTATTTTTTTTGAGGAAAGGCTATAATAGGCTCATGTATATATAGAGTTTTGATTTAGAATTTTCAACTTTGAATTGTATTGAAAGACGGTATGGTAGTGAACAAATTAAATTGAGAGATTTAATGTTGATAAAATTGACTTTTTGTTTGTCTAAGAGTATTTTGATACAATATTTATAGTCGGTATAGTAGAATAAATTATTGTTCATTTAATGTAAGGTTTGCCTTTTACATTAAGTAAAAAAAAGTATAGCTATATTACATTTATATTATATATGAGAAAAACTTAACTTTAACTGTGTAATAAAAGTTACTTTAAAAAAGTCATTGTACAATCAAATTATTGTACTCTCATTGCATCCAAAAGATTTTTATGAATAGGATGATCAATGGTATGTTATAATTTGTAAGTAGTTTTATAATAGCTCAAATAATTCGGTAGTTGTTGTTATGAAAAGGCCATAAATATGCAATACTAAATAAGGATTGACAAAAATTTAAGATTTTGTAGTCTTTTTATCTACAAACAATAGAAATTGATTTTAAAGTCTTTTTCAGTATATAAGGAATAAAAAGACATCTAACATTTTTGCTAATTTTTATTTTCAATGAAGCAGACCCTGGGGAAAAATAATTACAAGGGCGATAATTTTGAAATGTATTTCCTTACTAGTTCTTGTCAAAGAGAGCTCAATTAGAGAAGTGGCGTAATATTTAGGGTTGTACACCGGTCCAAAATCGGACTGGACCTGGACCGGATCTGTTGGGACCGGGACCTAGATTAGTGAATTTTGAGGACCGGAGACCGGACTTGATTCAATAGGTCCGGTTCCGGGTCAGACCTGAACAATCAGGTCCGGTTCGGATTTGGATCTGAACAGACCTGTTTTGTATTTTTTTTGTTTTTTTAAATAAATAACCTGTTGGACCTGCATATGGACTTGTTATGATAATTTTAGACCAGTTGCATAATTTAATGATTATATAATCACAAATTATCAATCACAAAATTACATAAATTCTATAAAGTCCCAATTCTCAAACACAAAAAAAATACTAAAAATTTAACAAATAATTCATAATTACATACTCTAAGTCTCAAATACTAGAAATACATAAATTCTCCAAAGACAACTTGAATTTTTACGAGTTGCTTTCCCTTCTGTGTGATCCTCACTAATATGAGTCCACGAAAACAATTTCATCGTCTACATCGTTAGATTCGTCACATTGCACCTCTAAATAAAAAAGCAATATAGGATATATTAGAATTTATTAATGAATGATAACAATGAAATAATAAATTTGGTGTAACAAAATTTCAAGTACATAAAATTAATACTACCTTTCTCTATTTCCTCTAACTCTTTCAAAGTTAAAAACATCAACGATTGGCACTCCCTTAGCTCTAAGCCAATCTTGAGTGCAAAGTAGCGTTTGAACCATCTTCAATACAAAAGTATTACATAAATATGTATAAACAAAGTCATATTTAGATATAAGCAAACTTGATTTTATAAAATAAAAAGATAAAGATGCATTACCTTAGGAGTTAAAAAACTCCGAAATGGATCTAGAGTACGACCTCCCGTACTAAAAGCAGATTCCGATGCAACGGTCGACAATGGGATGGCTAGTATGTCATGTGCCATGCGATTAACAATCAGATAACGCTGACAATTCTTACCCCACCAAGTCAATGCATCTTGTTCTTCCTCCTCCGGCCCTAATTGATCATTTAAGTACATATGCAACTCACTTATCGCATACCCACTTGTCCCCTTCAATTTTTTTCTCTTTCTTTTAGTTTTTTCACATAATCGGAACGCACTCCTATACTATTATCAACATCCATTGACATATTATCTCCACATTCTCCAGATTGGGTACTCTGAGGAATATTAGAAGCATACATTTTTCTATATTCCTCAAATAAAGTGTAAGTGAACTCCTTCACATCATTAGCAAGTTTCATACCCTTTTCCGGTCTATGCATATCCGTAAATGTCAATTCAACAATGACCATCTTAGAGTGAGGGCCGAGAAAAACAGCAACATAAATGAACTTATTCATATTATCCATATTCCCCCAATACTTATCAAACTTTTTTTTCATTGCAATGGCCATAGCTTGAAAATTCAAGTCCCCACTTTGTTCCCAATTATTCAACATATCATACATAGAAGCAATTTCACCTAAACCTTTATTAGTTGTCACATAATGGGAACCAGAAATTTGTTTAGTCAACACATAAAACTCCTCTAAAAACAAAACCAACCTCTCCACTTTTCCCAATCTTCGGGTTCAGGAGGCCTTTCATTGTCATTCAAATCCTCTCCATCAGGAGGAGATAACCCACTAAAAACACGTTGAAACTTCAAAGCCGTTTCCAACATTATGTATGTAGAGTTCCAACGAGTGGGGACATCAAAGGATAAAGAAGATTTTGAATCTATGTTTGCTTTTTGCACAAGATCTTTGAATCTTAGTATTCTTGCAAGGGAACTCTTAACATATTTCAAAGCATTTCTAACTCTATCAATACACACACCATGCTCACTAATACCATCCTGCCACACCTTGTGTGTAACGTCACCTTGTGTGTAACAGTCTAGGCCAAGGTGTGGCGGGTTACACACAAGGAACACAAGGTGACGTTACACACAAGGAAAACAAGGCGGGTTTTGGTTACACACAAGGAACAAAGGAATATTCCTCTCCAATGCTCATGAAAATATCTAAGGCATCCAAGGCAAATTAATTCCATGCTTACTCATCCATCCAAGTCACGCATGAATTGATCAAAGATGGAGCTATGTGGAAATCTAAAAGGATTTACTTTGAATTTGGGTATGCTGAAATGGTTTCCTTCAATACACCATGCTCACTAATACTGCGGTCATCATGCCTAGGATAGATGATCCTATGATGTTTGAAGTAAGTCCTTTCTTGAAACAAGCTCTAGGTACGAATTACCCTATGTTTTGTGATGAAATGTCCAAATTTGTGCCATATATGAGGTACTCCTGTCCATTTGCTAGATTGCTAAAATTGTTTATAATAATCACCTTTGTTCATGATCAAGTATGTATGTTCTTGATGATGTACAACGGTCCAAGCAGTGCTTATAAAGTTGAGCTATCTAGTGACTATGATGATGTGAGCTCAACTTTTAATGTGGGTGACCTTGCTCCATACTTGGATGATGAAAGCTTGAGGGCAAGCTTCTTTGAGGAAGGAGGGAATGATCCGGAATTGATCCTTGATCAGGAACTCGTACAAACCAATGAGCCTAGCAATTCAAAGGGTCCAAACACACGTTCAAAGGTCCAAAAGAATCAAGTTCCTATTGTCCATGGGCTATTCATTCATGGGTCCAAACTTGACAATGTTCCACGCATAGGTTTCCACATAGCTCCATCTTTGATCAAGTCATGCGTGATATTTTGCCTTGGATGCCTTAGATATTTTCATAAGCATTGGAGAGGAATATTCCTTTTTTCCAATCTAATTTGAAGGCAGCCAAAGACAAGGAAATAAAGAAGGGGGTTACACACGGTTTTAGTGTGCATTCAAGAGGAGTTTTACTCTCTTGTTGGGCGCCATTCATGGAGTAAAACCTCCTTAGTTTAATTGCTTTTTAATACTAGTTAATTATATGTTTATTTTCAATTGTTAGAATTAATTAGCTAAGCTTAAATTGCTATAATAAAGGTTGTAACCGATAGCCGTTGATAATAGGGAAAGCTGGGCGTAGTTGCAGCGAGTTCCTGAAGGAACTTCTTAAACGAATTCCTTTAAGGAACATCAACCGTTATTAGTCTTAAATGTGTGGCGGGTTCCATGGGAAACGTTACACATGAGGGCTGATCATAGTTGGCGGCTTTTGAGTTCTTTTTGGCTGGTGACTTTTGAGTTCCTTATTAATTAAGCTAAGTTAGATAATTAATATAACTACTTCCTTAGTCTATAAAGGGAAGCCTAGTCTAGTTCTTGTAATCTGACTTTGATGAATGAAAACTTTTCCATTTGAAATTTACTTTGAGTATCTTTCATATTTTAAACTAGTGGATTCAAGTTTTACTTGAACTCATGGATTCGAGTTTGTGAGCTTAACTCGGAGTGTTGGGGGTTAGCTTGTATTATGGTTAGTAGAGTGAGTGTTCAACTCTAACCATACTTATCCTTGATTTTCATTGCGAGTGTTCGTTTGGTAATCAAACCTCGAGTTCCTCGCTGTCAAGAACTTTGTTCTTTTCCTTACCCGTGTTCCCACGTAAACACTTAGCCTAAACACCAAACCACTTATACACCTAGCCTAAACACATAACCCATCACCCAAAACACTTAACCCTACCTTAGTTTCCGCATCACCATCCCACACAATTAAATTAATGATATGAGCAATGCATCTAACATAAGGATTTTTTCCATCATTAACACATCATGTTCTTCTAACCATTCTATTCAAGTGTGCACAAGCAACATCATTTGAAGAAGAATTATCAACAGTGATAGTAAAAAGTTTATCATCAATACCCCAATACTCTAAACATGCCTCAACTGCTTTTCCAATAGTCTCTCCTTTATGACTAGAAATTGGACAAAAACTTATGATCTTATTATTCAATTTCCAGTCATTATCAATGAAATGAGCCGTAAGACACATACAATTAATTCTTTGTATTGAAGTCCAAGTATCAGTGGTCACAAAAATTCTTTGACATGTCTTAAACATTTCTCTCAATTTCTCTTTTTCACTATAATACAACTTTAAACAATCATGAGCAATGGTAACACAAGATGGAATGTGAAATTGTGGACATGAAACTTGCACAAAGTGCCTAAAACCAGATTTTTCCACATGCTTAAATGGTAACTCATGAACAATAATCATGTGAATCAATGCCTCTCTAACATCATTCAAGTTAATAATCCTACTCCCACGCTTTAATTCACCACTCTCATGTTCTTGATCAAAATACAATTTAGTTTTCTTTTCTTTTTCCTTTTCTTTCTCTATATTAACATGATTACCAAGACATGATTCAACATGGTTTTTAACAATTTTTGAACCATTAAGATTACCATCAGCAGCAAAAGTTTTAGGATAAAACTTACATTCAGCTCGTAGTTTTCCATTGTCGACATACTCTAAGTAAT